AAACACGTGTCGCGTCCGAAACGAAATTGAAGTGCAGCCAACGGCTAACGCGACGCCCCAGCCGCGTTTTCCTCGCCGCACCGAGATGCCGAGGGACGCTCGCATGACTGCGCGAAAACACTGCGCCGTTCCACGCTAAGGTAATTTTTCAGAAATCTCTTCGACCCACTCTCTCTTTCTCTCCCGCCGTCTCTGTCTCTCGCTGCCCGAGTCTCTCCCTCTGTCTCTTCCGCTCAGGTTTCCTCAAAGAAAATTGAGATTCACGTGGAAACGCGTGCACGCGGAAGACCACCCGCGGCTAATTTAATTAAAAGTTAAATTACGAGGGACAGCGCGGCGCTCTCTCTCTCTCTCTCGCCCTGCTAATAAAGTAAGTTGGCCTTTGGATAGAGACATTCGCCAGCTTTTTCACCCGACTATATTCGTTCGAACAATTTATCTCGCAAACGCGCTGCAACTTCTATCGGGGACAGCCGAGCGGGCGTCCGATGTCGGCAAATAACCGGAAGAACACGCCGCGTAGTCCAAGTCCGAACGCGAGTAAATACGTCCCGGTGATTACCAGAGTGGCCCGAGCGTCGCGCTACGAATATATCACGAGGGAAAAACAAGCGGGGAAATTGCGAACGCGGTTCGCGAAACGCTCGCGCGTCCGGCGCTTGGCAGAAAGTTGCGAGGCGGACGCGTTAAAAGGAGGAAAATCGAATTTAACGCGTGATCGATGGAGAGAAGGAAAAGTTTGCCGGAACGACCGTGGAGCGGAATTCCTTTACGCTTGGCCACGGTGTGTGCTAGTGGATGGACTCTTTGGCAGCCATTAAGGACGAAACGCTGACTCTCCCGTGGCGATAAAGAAGCTCGCTTAACGACCCGGATCCAAAGGATCCATCAAGTCGAAAGCGATGTCGTCCAATCGGAGCATCTTGGTCCGGTTATGACCGAAACTGCCAGTCGAACGGTTTTTTCTCGCGCAGTTTTCGGCGCGATAAAAGCAGCTGGAAAGAAGACTCGGTTGATGGTCTCGTTCATTAGTCATGGTTTAACCGCAGGTCGAAGACCGCGGCGGTTGCACCTGTGTGCGTGCGTGGAAACAGCCGGAAGGAGCGGGAGAGGGAGCGAGGCAGCTGCAGGGGGGCCGTTAAAAAATAATGGCCTAGGGTCGTTGCTGGCAGTGCCGTCACCCTGGCACGTGCGAAACTTTAATGACTTTCGCTCGACATAACGCCACTCCGGTCCCTCGCCCGTTTTCCTTAACCCTCCGTGTGTAAACCGGGCCTCGCGTGGGTCCACTCGTGTGGCGAACCGTCACCGGAGATAATCCACTTCTCCGCTGCGGGCACGCTCGATGCCAAATCCCCTGTACCCTTGTAACACCGCAGACGATCGGATCGGCAGATAGCGAGCGGCCTCCTTTCTTTATTAATTCACCAAGCGTCCCTCTCTTATCTCCCGGCCGCTGTTACGCCCTCTACTCGTAAACCACGCACGGTTACGTTTCCTCGCCTTTGCGAAAATACGAACTCGCGAGGAAGGATCGGAACCACCGACGAGTTGTATCCACCGCGCGAATTTCCCGCAATGTTCGCGTGGTCGGGGTAATCCAGGGGTCCGTGGATCAGGGGAAAAGTTGCGTCGAATTTGCGAGTCCTCGCGCAGCCGGGAACGATAGCGAGGTACTCTGGGGTATTAGCCCGCACCGGTGAGAAAAATACCCGAGGTAGAGAGGAACGGTAATACGCGTCAAAGCAGAGTTATCGCGGCGCGTTTGTTGAAGGAGCGCGACCGCGAAGGATTTACCAGGAGGTAGCGAAATGACGGACGTGGCAGCGCGCGAGTGGCTCGTGCATTTAATTGCCATTCCCCGACTGTTCCGTCTTTCCGTGCTAATCGCGCAGAGCCGACGTTCGTCCCCCGTTCGTCCGCGTGCATCTTTCACCCCCCCTGGTCCGAACGCGTTCCTGGATGGCCCCTGCTGGCCTGGCCCGGCCCGTGCCCTGCCCTGGCCTGACTTAGTCTCGCCTGGTCTGGTCTGGTCTGGTCTGGTCTGGTCTAGTCTGGTCTGGTCGAGCGATGGCGGAGAACGATCTCGCAAACTTCGATCGACCAAGTTTGACGGAGCTTAGCCTCGCCTGGTCTGGTCTGGTCTGGTCGAGCGATGGCGGAGAACGATCTCGCAAACTTCGATCGACCAAGTTTGACGGCCGAGCCGTAACTTTGGACGCGTTCGATATTACCGAATACGCGGCTCCGGCCTTTCACGGCACGCCACACCATGCCACACCATGCCACGCTATGCCTCCGCCTCGGGAAACTTATATACGTGATTTGTGGCCTCGCCTACCAGCCCTGCTGGACCAGATAAATTCGCTCGGGTCAATTTTTTAGCGGGCCGCGAACAATCGTACACACCGTTCCGCTCGGCGATCCGGCGCGCGTTCTTTCGAGATACCGTGAAATATCGGCCGTCGAGTCGAGTTTCCGCCACGAAACGGATATTTAATTTGCAACGGTACCCCGTGCGTCTACGTGGCTCTCCACCCACGACCCGCGACCTTTCATCGTGATCGATACGCGGCATTTCCTGCTCGTTAGCCGACCTCGCGGTCCGATCGGCGTTTCGGTGCAAACTTTTCCGACCTCTCGTTACTGCTCGACAGCGGGATGAAAATGCGCGGACTTGCGGCTGGGTTGCGCGTGGCGCAATTAACGCGAGAGATTGGAGTGGCCGAAATGAAAGTGGACAGGAAGAGAGCGTCGACCCAGCGACCCGCGAAACGCGCTTAAGCGCTTTGCCACGCGCTTAGAAACTCCGCGATGTCACCGGAACTCGAAAAGTCAGCCGTCGAAAAGCGCGATCGCCATTGTCGTCACGGTCGGCACACGAAATCGCGTGTGCGGATCAGGAGCGCACGATGGTGGTACCAGGACACGGCGCGCGAAAGCCGATATCGTCTCGGTTTTCCCCGCGGGTGTCCCGTTTGATCCCGAGACGAGCGGAATTATCGCCTCGTTCCTCTCTGTCCTCCGGTGCCTTTAAAGACGCCGGGAGACGAGGAATGGGGAAATTTGGTAGAAAATTTCGCTCGATTCGCGGTTCGCGATCGGCGAATTAGGGTTGGAAATTAGAACGAACGGGGAGAAAGGAAATCTTGTCGTTCTCGCGATGGTCGGCGCGCGAGATTGCAATCGAGCGGGTAATTTTGGAAAGCGATAACCAAGCGAATCCGGAGCCGATGGGAGTTACAAGCTGCCCCGTTTAATTTCAAAGCCAATCAGCGAAAGAGACCGCGCGTCCCCCTACCCTTATCCTTGCGTCCGTCTACGCGGCGATCGCGGATTATCATCCCCGTGCAATCTCGCGGCGCTCGGTTCGCGATCGAACCCTCGACGCTGCAACGAGGATCGTGCTCGAACTGGAACACACACGGTCGAAGGAACGGGAAACGATGACTCGTTAATTATCGATTCGAGCGTGGAGCACGTACGACCACGTTAAAAAGCAGTCAAAAGCAGACGCCGTAAATACGCGGCTGTAACGTTTCCGCGCGGAAAACGTTTAATAAGCGGGCAAAACGTGCCCCTGTGTCCCGGAGCGATCTCGTTCCGATTTTCTATCTAAAATCGTTTCCCTGTCTGCCTCTCTTCCCTCTCCGTCCGACCTCCGATCCTCCCGGGCTTTCCCGTCCGACGAGGACGAATGTAACGCGGGCCAACGTGACGTTAATTCGTTTCCAGTGCAAGACGTATGATCCTCCGATAATGGCCCGCTCCCATTTGCCGGTATTCCGCGGCTATCAGCGACCCAAATTGCATACGCGAGACACGCCGCTCGAATCATCGATATTGACTGGTGTCGGAGGACCGCGTTAATTGCACTTCAGACGTTACCTGCCCCGGGAACCATGGATAATCGCCGCGTGAATTTCCAACCGCGCTGCGTCCGTCACTCTCCGACCCGCCGTGTCCGGTCCCAAAGTCTCTCCCGCTTCTTCCATCCTCCAACCGCCTCCAACGCTCTCTCGTCTGCCTTGGAAACGGGGAAAATTACGAAACGAGCGGCGCGGAAAGTCGATCGGGATTACGTTAATCACGCGAGCGAACGTCTCGCGGTGACGAGGTCGAACGGCTGACACGCAGGGCGCAGCCCCCTGTAATGGCTCCCTTTGCCGTGGCATCCGTTCATTGTTGTCGTCGACGCTGTTACGCGCTTATCGTCGACCTAAATTGCAGCCATCGCGTAGGTCGGAGAACCGGTCAGCGACATTGACTGACGCCGAATAGCGCAGCCGATCCGGCGTCGCGAGGGTTGCGATCGGTATTAGCCACGAAGGATCGCAACGATCTCGCGGCTCGATTCGTTCGTAAGGTTGCCCGAGACTCGGCGGAGGGTAATAATCGTTAGGAGGGATCCGGTGATCGAGACGTTTCGCGATACGAGATAACCGGGCGCCGTTCGATCGGCGAATTGGAAGGGAAATTTCCGAGAAATTTGTCCGGTGGAACGAACTGCCGTCGTTCTCTCCGAGAGAGAGAGAGAGAGAGAGAGAGAGAGAGAGAGAGGATCACCGGGGAGGAGTTGCCGACGGGCGGAAGAACCGATCGATGGTCGGGGAAGGGCGGGAAGGGGGGCGCGGGGTGGCCGTTGAAACTAATAGATAGGTAATTAGCGGATAACGAAGTAGCTTCCTACCGGGTGAAAAAATGGCCGATCGTCGGGTTAGATCCGTTAACGATCGATCGAGGCTTTGTTCTTCGGGAGCGCGCGGTCGAAGGGAACTTATTACGCTTATTAAGCCGACTTGTCAGTTCCTCAATACGGCTTTGGCGGTGGGACGGCAAACGGCTTAGTCGCGTTGATCCTGCGTGCGCCGGTAAAGGAACGACGCTCAGACCTGTCCGACCTGTTAATTAGACGAATAAGATAATTCCCCTTTTCAAACGATAGAAGGAAAACCAACCCGACGTTTCATTGCTTTTCTTTTTCCAGGTGCGGAAGATGTGTTCAGGTTTACGGGGAACGAGACGCACACAGACTACTTTCGGCTGGTACTCCGGGACGGGAACTATCTTCTGGTCGGCGGAAGGTAAATAGAGGATTCATTTGGAGCGAGTGCTTTAATTAAAGGATCGCTTCTTCTTCTTCTCGTTCTTTGCTACCGGTTCGAGGGCCCGCCGCCGCGATCGACGCCCGGGCCCTCTCGATCTCTACGTGTGCCGACTATTTTCCCCGGAAATCTCGTTTCCACCGACTCCTCCTCCAACCCGCGCGCCCTTCGCTCGAGCTTCTTCTTCCTTCCTCGCCTTTTCCGTTCCGACGATGAATTCCGAGAGCCTGCCGCGCGCGGTACGCTGTTCTTCCCTGTTAATGAGATCGTCGAACTTTATTTAGAAACTTCTTTGTACGCTTTATTTTACGATCCTTCGAATCCGAAGCCGCTACGAGCCACCGCTTCCTTACAGCCCGACCGCTTCTTTAAAAAAACTTTCTCCCTGCCTCGACGATCCAGCAGAAGACGCCGGCACGTAATTAAAACGCGATATGCATCGGCCGCCACTGTGCGCCGGATCTGGATCACGGATCTCTCCAAACGCGTCTCCTCCTATGTAGGTCGACCAAGGATTCATCCGATCTCGAGTTCCCCCCGTTATATATCCCGAGACTCGCCAACCACCGCCGCTTTCTCCGACAACGTTCCACGAAATCGCTACGCGTCGAGCCTCCTCCACTCCGCTTCGTTCGCCAGCCATCCGACCCCGATCGATTATCTTTCCTCTCGAAAAGAGGAATCCTCGTCGGGGCTCCGCTCGCTCGTAGACGGAGGACGGCATCGAAATCGGTAGTTGCCGGGTCGCGAGGATAATTGGGTCTCGTTCTCGCTCTCGCGCCAACGAACGCGCATCGATCGTCGTCGCGGTGCTCGTCGTGGTCGGCGTCGTGGATCGCTCGTCGTCGCTCGAATTACGTTAATTGCTCGATCGATTGGACGACTCGTGTCCCCGGGTTCGAGGTTTTTCCCCCAACGTCGGCGTGCCGGTTTTCACGGCGATTGTTTCGGCCAGGGCGAAACGCGAGCCGTGGCATCCGGGACGGTTAAATCGCGCGCGATTGCGAGCTGTCGCGAGACAACGGGGCGAAATTTGCAGCTCGAGACCTCGCGCGGAATATTAATCTCGAGTCGGTCGCCATAAATCTTGGCCCGTTCGTAATAAACGGATCGCGACGGGGTTCGAATCCCGCCGCGGTTCCCGTGGCATCGGTCCTGCCATCGGCTTTCTCTCTTTTCCTCTTTTTCTCTTTTATCCCGCCGATTCCATTTCCTTTTTTTATCCCTTCGATTCGACGCGCCGGCAACGACTGCGTTTCCCCGGGAAACCGGGGAATCCGCGCGCGATAAGCGGACAAAGTAAAGGGACGCGAACGGCTCTCGGTGGCGGGGTGATTAATGCGAGAACCGGGCGTATTCTTCGTGGAAAAAGTTATAGATCGCGTGCGAGAAATAGCTGGGGAAATTCTCCGCCAAGATTCGCTCGTGCACCGACGTGCCACTCTCACGATTCCTCGCGAAACCGGTTCGAAATTCCCCAGCTCTGGCTACCAGCCTGTTCCCTATCCCGTTAAACTCTCCGTGAAATCCTTTGCGCCCGCCGCAACGTACATCTCGCCTCCATTATCGCTGTCTATCTCTTAAAATTTCCCTCTGCGCGGAAACCGGACGAACGCTGCAAGCGGAAGGGAACCGGTCGCGCGATCCCCGAACCCCGGGATTCGATTGGCCAGCGCTAATTCCGCGCCGGACAAAGGCTTGCCCGCTAGCCCCGTGAAAGCGTGTTCAGTCGCGGGAATCTCTCTTTTGCGCGTTTCAGAAATCTCGTGCACAACCTCAGCCTGACCGATTTGACGGAGCAGCAGAGGCTGATTTGGTACTCGACCGACAGTGACGTGAAGATGTGCCTGGTGAAGGGCACGCCCGAGGAGAATTGCCAGAACTACATTCGCATCCTCGTGAAGACGGACCCGAACACGCTGCTGGTATGCGCGACGAACGCGTTCAAGCCGATGTGCCGGCACTACGGGGTCCAGGCGGGCAATTACACGATGCTGACGGAGAAAACGGGCCAGGCCATGTGCCCCTACGACCCCCGGCACAACAGTACTTTCGTTTACGTGGACGGGGAACTCTACACCGGCACGGTCGCCGACTTTGCCGGGATGGACCCGATCATCTACAGGGAGCCGGAGCCCCTGCAGACCGAGCAGTACGACTCCAAGAGCCTAAACGGTGAGTTAGCTTGCCCACCTCCTTCCAGTTTTCCCTCCTGTTACGCGTCATCCGCATGTTTGCTTTTGCTTCCGCGAGATCGGCAAGCGTCATAGAGGGGGTGTGTCGCGAATGGATAGCGAAGTGGATTAAACACACGAGATGAGTCACGCGCGCAAACCGGAAGCGTGCGAAGGCGCGTAATCGTTGTCCCTGAAAGGTTCGAGAAATTAAAAAGCGTTTGAACAGCTCTCCGCTGAGAGGGTATCGAGCAGTTGCGTCGTGGGGGATGTTTTATGGGTAAGGGTGACGAATCGACAACAGAGTGCTCGGACGTGGATTAAGGATTATCGCTTTAGCCTCTTCTGGCACGGAGAATTAGCCACTCGAAGCTTCTCTGTTATAAAAATCAGGCACAATTTCGGTAATAACGCAGAAAAATATCGGAACATCGTGGATGATGAGGAGTTCTTATTTTCTTCGCGAAAGATACGAGAATAGGTTTCACAAAAATTATTTTTTTGGAAAACGATATCAATTTACCAGGTCTCGCCACGTGGAGGTGGCTACGCATCGAGACTCGGACACGTGCCCTAGTGGTGCAGCCTACTGGTGTTGTTTGTGTCAAAGATACCCTAATCCAACTTGGAGCAAAAGAAGTTAAAGCGAAGTTACTGGCATTTTGTTATATCTCGTGTCTTTACAAAGGAGATTTCTGTTCGATATACTAAAACTTTACTGTCGCACGTTAAGATATTCTGCTTCAACCGATTTTAATGTTTTCAAATTCCCATAAAAATAGGGAACACGAGCAAGTGAGAAATCGCGACGCACCCGAACGAATTCGCGATTATTCGAAACACCGACTAGTCTACGCGACGTATCCCGTGTACAAGACAACTTGGGGCCTCGGCACCCTTCCGATCGGGCCTTGCCCACACTGTCACTGCTGACCTCGCCATGGCTTACTCGTTAACCTAAGGCTGCCAACGAATCAGCGAAACGCCCAAGGTGAATCCGAGGATCCTATATGAGGCCTAACAGTCGGAATCATGCGCATGCTTCATGCTCCAGGGCTAAGCAATCTTATGCCATAGCCAGCTGTGCTACGGGGCAGGCAGTCGTATGACGTTATTTCTTGGAATTCTGTCCGCGAACTACCTTCTACCATGTTATGCATTCCTAATACAAACTCGCGAAATTTGAGAGAAATTTTTCGACGATACAGCAAAAGTATTATCCACAAAATAACTCCTCCCACGTTATGTTATCCTAATATAAAACCGCAGAATTTAGCGAAAATTTCTCATCGAGGCTGCAGTAGTAATGTCTACGAGATACCGCCCTTCGCGTTATGTTATCCTGATACAAAATCGAGAAATTGGGGAAAGATTTCTCGCACAGGCTGCAAAACTTTTGACCAGAGAATTCAAGGAAATTATGTCTGTGTTTGAAACGCTGAGAAATCCGAACTACGTGACTTACGCCCACGCAATTTACACAGATGACACGTAGGTACCTGAGGATTAGATTGATACAATCCGCAGTCGATTCGGCCGTCATCGAAAAATGTTGACTTTCGTCACTCATTTTCAGACCGGAATCTTACGATCAAAAATCGGTAAAAATTCTCGCCAGCTCGAAAGCTCGCGAAAAATATATGCAACTGTAGGGCACACTGAAAGCTCTTACATATCCAAAGCTCGCATTCCCAGCTTCACTAGGAAGCTCACAGCAGCATCAAACGTAACTCGCAGCATCGACATACTCAGTCCTATAGATTCTGTGTTTCAAACGCCGTAAAATTCGAACCACGTGGCCTACGCCCACGCAATTTTCACACATGATACGTATGCATCTGAGGATGAGATTGATTCAATCCGCAATCGATTCGGCCGCCATCGAAAAATATCGTAATGCCTCTTTTCGCGGTATGTTATCCCGATACAAAATCCTGTCAGTAGCTTTGCTTTAACTTACGACGTCATTTTTTGAAATTCTGTCTGCGAACTACCTTCTATCTCATTATGTATTCCTAATACGAAATCTCGAAATTTGAAACGAAATTTTTGCCTGGCTGCAAAAGCATTGTCCAAGGAATTCAAGTAAGTTTCTTGGAATTTTATCTGCGGGAGAGATTAATTACTATAACAGTCCGTCACATTCATGTATCCCTCGTGAGTGTCATGTGAAATTAAATTTTCTATCATCTTTAACATACCGCTGCATAAATAATTAGCCTGTAATTACTCTGCTTAAAAAATGATCTCAATATGCCCCTAATGCAACCCGTTGTACCGTTCTAATACCTTCAATGAGATAGACAAAGATAGAAGATGAAGCGTCATTCGATCAGCGCCATCTACGATTTTGGACGCGAAGCTTAAAAAAGTATCAGGCATGCAGAATTCACGAGGAGGTCGTCTGAACCTCGTCACGTGATGGATAATGATAGCTAGCGGTTAGAAAAGGATAGAGACGACGCGGCGGTGAAAAATCGTAAATTATCAAGTTTCTACGATTAATTTATGAACTTTTATAGCTGCATTGTAAAGCTGGAACTTTGGACAGCATTCTCATGTATTTTTCGGTAATAATTTGTGGCTAATTAGCTTGTTATTCATGATTATTTGAAGGCGTTACGTGATTTGATAATTACAACCTGCACGATTGTCAGACAAAATATTTAATTATGAACAAAACTGGAAGTAAATTATGAACAAAAATTATATGGGAATATTGCTAAGGATATTGTTTTCGCGATACGTGAAAATAATACATTAATTAGTTACATAAAAGATAACTATTAATGACAAACTATTAGTATTTTCGGTAACAGTTCGAACACTCCGTGAAATAATTACTAATAATTAATTAATTAACGAGAAATTTATATCTAAAATAATATTATAGAGTTCTTAAAGGGTGCCTCTTTACGACTTAATTATAAAAGTTCACAAATTGTTCACGGAAATCGCATAATTTGATGATTTTCCTTTCAACTTTATCGTATTGGCAGATCATTATTCTCCATCTTTTTCTAAGGGCAGTGCAAATCGTTGATTGGCGCTAAGATAGCCAATAAGAAAGACTTGCGATCAACGCCATCTGTGATTTTGCTTTCTGTAGCTTCGAGTAAAAAATCACAGATGGCGCAAATCGCAATGCTTACTGATTTTAATGCTGCTGTTAGCTTTTTAGTAAAGTTGCGAATGCGAGCTTTAGGTATGTAAGAGCTAACAGTGTGCCCTACAATTGCATATGTTTATCGCGAGCTTCTGAGCTTGCGAGAATTTTTACCGATTTTTGGTCGTAACATTCTGATCTGAGAACAAGTGGGGAAAGCCAACAACATTTTCCGATGACGGCCGAATCGATTGCGGATTGAATCAATCCAATCCTCAGATGCATACGTATCATGTGTGAAAATTGCGTGGGTGTAGGTCACGTGGTTCGAATTTTACAGCGATTCAAACACAGAATATATAGGACTGAGTATATCGGTATAGCGAGTTACTTTTGATGCTGCTGTGAGCTTCCTAATGAAGCTGGAAATGCGAGCTTTAGATATATGAGAGCTTACAGTTTGCCCTACAATTGCATATAATTATTGCGAGCTTTCGAGCTTGCGAGATTTTTTACCGATTTTTGGTCGGAGGATTCCAGTCTGAGAATGAATGGCGAAAGCCAACATTTTTTGATGACGGCCCAATCGATTGCGGATTGAATCAATCTAATCCTCAGGTACATACGTGTCATCTGTGAAAATTGCGTGGACGTAGATCATGTGGTTCGAATTTTACGGCGTTATAAAGACAGACACAATTTCTTTGAAATCTCTGGTCAAAACTTTTGCAGCCTATGCGAAAAATCTTTCCCCAATTTCACGATTTTGTATCAGAGTAACATAACATGAAAGGAGGTCCATCGTCGAGACAATTCCAAGAAATGACGTCATTTCCAAGAATTCTCGGGACAATACTTTTGCGGCCTGGGCGAGAAATTTTCGGTCGATTTCGCGATTTTGTATCAGGATAACATGACATGCTAAGAGGTCGCACGTCGAAACAGTTCCAAGAAATGACGTCATTTCCAAGAATTCACCGGACAATATCTTTGTAGCCTGCTCGTAAAATTTTCGCCCGATTTTATGATTTTCTATCAGGATAACATGACATGATAGGAGGTCTATCGCCGAGACAGTTCCAAGAAATGACATCATTTCCAAGAATTCTCGGACAATACTTTTGCAGCCTTGATGAGAAATTTTCGGCCGATTTCGCGACTTTGTACTAGGATAACATAACATGATAGGAGGTCGCTCGCCGAGACAGTTCCGAGAAATGACGTCATTTCCAAGAATTCCAAGGACAATACTTTTGCCGTTTGTGGTCAATATTTTTGCCGCTACTGGACAATATTTTTGCCGTTACTGGACAATACTTTTACCGCCATTGGACAATACTTTTGCCGCTTCTGGACAATACTTTTGCCGTTTCTGGACAATACTATTGCCGCTTCTGGACAATAATTTTGCCGTTTCTGGACAATAATTTTGCCGTTTCTGGAGAATAACTTTGCCGTCTCGCCATAAAAGTTTCAGCCGATTTCGCGAGTTTGTATTAAGATAACATGACATGCTAGGAGGTCTACCGCCGAGACAGTTCCAAGAAATGACGTCATTTCCAAGAATTCACCGGACAATATCTTTGTAGCCTGCTCGTAAAATTTTCGCCCGATTTTATGATTTTCTATCAGGATAACATGACATGATAGGAGGTCTATCGCCGAGACAGTTCCAAGAAATGACATCATTTCTAAGAATTCTAAGGACAATACTTTTGCAGCCTTGACGAGAAAGTTTCGGCCGATTTTGCGACTTTGTATGAGGATAACATAACATAGTAGGAGGTCGGTCGTCGTGCCAATTCCAAGAAATGACGTCATTTCCAAGAATTCTCGGACAATACTTTTGCAGCCTTGCCGTAAAATTTTTGGCCGATTTCGCGATTTTGTAATAG